ATAGTTTGGTGTGTCTTGTAAAAGTAGTCAGCGAGTTGCCACATGAGCAGCAGTCACGTGCCTCAGGCTTTACCCAAGAGAAATGAAAACACATTTCCGCCCAAAGACACGTGCAGGAGTGTGTGTAGCCGCCGCCCTCGCAGCGGCCAGGAACGGGAAACACCGCACCCCCCTCCACGTCAGCGAGGACACACACGCGTGGCCCATCACACCACAGAGCACCGGGCAGCAAGGGCACGGAACGGGAGAAGGAGGAGGCTGCCACGTGGGTGAACCCCAAGAGCGTTGAGCTGAGTGAAAAAAACCCCAGGCCCAAGGGACTACAAAGACCATAATTCCATTTCTGTGACATTCCAGGAAAAGCAAAACTAGAGGCCATGAAACAGAGCAGTGGCCGCCAGGGGCCCGGGGAAGCGACATGAACTGTACAGGGTCTCAAAGGAACTTCTGGGGTCAGGGAAATGTTCTGCACCTTGACTGTGACTGCAGCCACACGACTGGACATATTTGTCAGAACTCATTGGCCCGTGCGACTCTCCAGGGCTGACTTTAATGTATGTAAATTGAACTCAATAAACCTGCCTTTAAAAAAATGACTCCTCTAGAGAGGACTTCCCTAGCCCCGTTTTATCCAGGAGACACTCTCCTCCTCCATCTCTCACACTCGGCCTTATTCTACTTCCTGCGTGGTACTCGTGATGCCTAAAAGTATAGATGTGTTACCTGTAACTGACATCAAATATATTTATAAAATTATAAAAAACTAAATACGATGACATATAAAATACAAAATTATATACATGATTTCAGACTTCATGATGCACTATATGGAAAATAACAAAATCACGTATGGGAGAATGAGGGTGGGTGAAGGGGTGGGTGTGGATGTGGATAGATATCATTTTCTGCACATAAACTTCAAAGTTGCATATACAGTTATATATTATGTATAATTTTAGAAATCATTCAGTACTATGCAGAAAATTACCCACATGTATGCACAGATATTTTATATATATAGATATAGATACACATAGATATATAGATATATGTGCATGTACATATATCATTGTCTGGTTCCTCCCCTAGAATTGCCACCCCTTCCAACGCAGGAATTATACCGATCAAGGTCACCCTTTGATCCCTAGCTCTAGCACCTGAGCGCACATAATAGATGCTCAAAATAAATATTTCTTGAGTTCATCGACAGGAAAACAAAGGCACTCCGGCAAACAGATGGAGTGACTTAGGCGGTATGAAAACCTGTTGTGGAATTGCGTACCGAGTTACGTCTGGACTCAGCTCCTTGCCAGCCCGAGCCCACCCTCTGCCTGGACGGCCCCCTTGGGAGAGCCAAGTGCGGGTGACGAGCACTCCGGCGTGGCCTGGAGTCAGGGGACAAGATAAGAGCTTTCCCGGGATGGCTTGGGTGGAAGAAGCAAGCTCCCCCAACCCCAGCGTGGCTTCGACATATGTTCTGATCAGGTAATAAAAGCTTGGTCAGAGGCTTGCGCCCTTTGGGTTTCATTTCATTTTATTTTATTATTAAAAACTAAACATGTGGAACACAGATAATTGGGTTCTGCAGGAGGCTTCCTTTGGCTCCTGCATCTGAGGAATTTAATGAGGGAGAAAACAGAGGGAAATATATACATAGCTATTCGGTATATTTGGAAGGGTTGAAAGCAAAGTCGTACTTCAAAGGGTTATTAGGATAACCTCTCTGGGCAAGTTGTGATCAGTAATGCTGCCTGGGTCGTCATATTGTGGGCTTTTTAAAGGATTTGGAGGCGGGTGGGGGATTGTAAGATTTTTGTTTTTGTTTTTTTTAAATTAGTTTTCAAAGGAAGAGTGTAGTGACGGTAGAGCCAAACTTTTAAATATCCTTCTTGGAATGGTCAGAATTGAGTTTCAAACCTTAACGTGCTCCAAGGGACCATAATATGAGCTGGAAAATAATTATTTTCCAAGCTCCAGAGCCCCTTTGCCCCTCTGTCCACACTGTCCCGGACTAGTTAAGTCTCCGCGCACGGGGCACGTCGCCCCATTAACTGTTCTGTGCCCCTGCCTCCCCCAGCAAGACGGAGGGGCAGGTTCTCTATTATAAACTCCTGGGGATCATTCCAAGGCCCACATTAGCAGAGCAATTTAGAGTTCAGCCTTCAGGAGTCTGAAAGGGTGAGACAAACCATGGTTCAAGTTCACGGGGTTCCTCAGAGGGGTAAATGCGGCAGCTTCTTTTCCTCGGGGCTACCTGAGAGTCATCCACATTTTTATGGGAGGTGGTAGCTCAGTTATTTTCACTGCAAAATAGTATTCCCAGTGATGGATTTACTACCATGTATTCATCTGCAGTACTATTGACGGATATTTAGGTATTTGTATCCAGTTAGGGCTATTAGCAACGATGTTGCCATGGAGGTTTTTATACACAGTCCTGGTGAACACAAGGCTGCTTGCCCTTAAAAACCCTTAAGCTCTTAGCCCCAGAGTCCAAAACCATTTTGGGGTCATGGACGTCTTGGGTAATCTGATGAAAACTGAGTCCCCTACCCAAAAGGCACAGACACACAGACCTAGAAATGGAGAGATACTGACATAAACAGTATTGTGTGCCACATTAGGGAGGCCTCGCAGAGGCCCACACGCACGCGGGGACCACCTCCAGACCCCCAGCTGTACTCTGAGTTGGGAAGGGAGGCAGAGGGGCCTTCTCTGGGGTGCGTGGCAAACCGTTCCTTTGGGGTGGGGCAGAGAACGGAAGGTGGGTTTCCCTCCAAGCCCCCTTCTGAATGCCTTTGTTTTCTCCGCCTTGGTGCTGAGAGGGCTCCAGCCCAGAGACGGAGAAACAAGAGGTCGGTCTCCCAGGCATAGCCCCAAACCCCGTGGCGCTCCAGCAAAGCCCGCGCCTCTCTGTATGGACGCCTGTGTGCGCACGGAGGGCGAGGCGAGGCCGGAGCCAAGAACAACCCATAATTCTGTACACAGCAGATTGAGTTTCTTGGAGACTTTGCTCCCAGAGGAAACGTCTGCCATGGCAGGAGTTGAGCATGGCTGGGGCCTCGGAGAGTGGGCAAGCTGTGTGTGTCGAAGCACCCACGCAGGGCCGGCAGAGAGTCTGGGGCTCTGGGGGCGCCTGCGGTGGGGTCCAGCTGAGCCAGGGCGGTGCTGCTCCTGGTCCTGGGCAAGGGGGTCTCTGCCTTAGGGAGCTCTGCTCCGCCTCCCTTCTGAGTAAGCCCCTCTCATAGGGGCAGGGGGCTTGCTGGACAGAGGCCACACATCCCCATCACTGCTACCCCGAGTTCGGGGTACCCAGAAACGGGACTTCTGCCCACATGGGGGTCAGCCTGAGTCCAGACACTGCCTGGTCCTAGTCTCTGCGTCCATCTCTGGAGCATCAATATCCCCATCCGTAGGCCCGAGGGATGGCCAAGGCGTGGGTGTTTGTCAGGGGGGGTGTGCACAGAGCCTGGATTTGCCGCCTAGGGTGTGTACGCGTGTGCACAGAGCTTGTCGTGGTGAAAACAGACAGGGCTGGGCACGAAGAGGTGGCGGAGTGCCGGCTCTACCTGTGATTCTGGGGCGGGACTCAAGTCCACTTTGGCCTCCCAGGTGATTAGAAAGATACGCCTGTCAACTTGTCAGACGACAGAGCACGTGTTATTCGCGCTTTGCCAGCTTGATTTGTAACTCTGATGTTCTCATTCAGAGTATGCGGGCCCGTCTCCATTTGTGCCCTGCCCGGGGGAGCCACGGTGTTGGGGATGGGTCTGCCCAGGTGATAAAACCCGGAAGGCTGTTTTTGCTCTCTGCCTGGGAAGTGCAGCTCAGAGGCACAAGTGGACATTTGGGGTCAAGAGCACGAAGGCGGAAGCCTGGTCCCTGCAGCAGCTTCCAGGGAACAAGAGGCTTTCCTGGTTCCACGCTATCGCACCTGAAACTCTCCTGGGGTGGGGGGAGCTGGCATGCAGGACTCCGTGCTCCCACTTCCGAAGACCTGGAAGGGGCATGGGAGGTGTCGGTCCGGAAGACCCAGTTCTGCCTCTGGTTTAGCCACTGTCCTGTGAGGGCAGGCTCCACGTGGCAGCCTGGCCACTCTGGATTCTGGGACTGTTAATCCGTCTCTCCCTCTCTCTCTTTCTGCATTTTATGTGCCATTTTCATGATGACTCTGGCTTCCTGCATCTCTTCCTCGCTCTGTTTCTCTCCTCGCTGTGTATCCCTCTCTGTTTATCCCTGTGCATCTGTCTCTGATGCACCCTCCCTCAGTTCTAAGCCGGCAGACCTCTCAATGCCTCTCCCCTCCCCAAACTGGCCCCTTGCGGGCAGCTGCCCTCAGAGACGCCCCGGACCCTCTGTGCCCATTTTGCCTCCCTCCTTCTTGGAGCCCCAGCCCTGGGCTGCTGGAGGGTGGAGAGACAGAGTGAGCTGATCAGGCACCCACTTTCCCTTGCCAGCTCCCAGGGTGCCTTGCCATCAGGGGGTCTTCAAAACAACAATTAAAAAACAATTGGAACTAGGTTTGCCATGCCTCCCAAAACGTGTACTTCAATGCCGGTGGCCCCCGCGCCCGCCTGAAGGAGACCGGAAGCGCTCTGCAGTGGACGCGGCCGCATTTCCTGGGGCCTCCCGCTGTGCCAGTCGCCTAAAGAGCTACCTTTGGGCACCATCCCGAGGTCTTCCTGGCAACGGGAGGCACCTAGCCCCGGCCCCAGCATCCAGCTGCGAGTGGGTGTTGGGGACCAGAAGGAAAGGTGTCGGGCTGTGGGGGTCACCAGTGTGGGGAGGCGGCCGGCGCTGGAAATAGGGGCGCGGGCGGACTTGCCCGGCGCCCAGGTTTTCTTGCTGAGTCTGGGGCCACGCCCGAGTCCCCCGCCGGCAGTCGCGCCTGCCAGCGCTTCCCTTCTCCAAAACGTGGCTGGATTATTTTTTCCATTCCGAATAATAATTTTTTTTTAAAAAAAAAAGTAGGTCAAGATTACTCCAGGCAAACACTACCCGTCCAAAACTGAAGTTGGGGAAGGTTAAATTCCAATGCAAATGGCCGAGCCGAGGGTTTTGCAAAAATTTCCCCGAATTGCGCAAAATCGGTTCCACCCGGCCTCCTGAAATTGAGTGCAAACGTCGCACGCACGCTCCTAAAGGGCATTTTTGCGAGGAGGGGGTCCACAGCTCTCATCCGATTTTCAAAGAGCTCCAAGGAGCCCACCACCACCGCGGAAAAGGGTGAAAAGGTTACGAATCGTCACAAAGGTAGGTTTTCAGGAGGAAAAAAAAAACCTTCCGTCTGCCCACCTCTCTCTCTCTTTTTTTTTTTATCTCCCCCTTCTCCCACCTCCTCACCCCACCTCCTTTTTCCTTTTGCAACTTTTCTTTGACATTTCAAAGCCCCCTCTCCTGGTTTCGATTTGAAGCTCCCGGATAAAATCGATCAATTTCAAAACGGAAAGGATTCCGGGTCTGGAATTCAAAGCCCTCCCCCTTGGACGGAGGCGGAGCTGGAGCCAGAGGCAGGAGGGCAGAAACACGTTGCTTCGGCACCTCATTTCCCGCTGCGTCCCCCTTCCCCCGACGTTCCCCCCCCAAAAAAGAGGGGGGATCAAAGAGAAGGGTTTCAAGTTTTTGGCGCGCCTGTGCGCGCGCGCGCGCGCCCGTGGCACCCAGAACGCCCGGGGTGGGGGGAACCGGCCGAGGAACTCGCCCTCCCACTTTGCCACAGGAAGTTCCCAAATGTTTTTTACCTGCTTCTGCGACCTCAGGTATTTGAAGAAGGCAGTCCGGCAACTTTAAAGGGCTGCGGAGGTGGCCAAGGTCATAAACTGGAAGACAGAAAGCGACTCTTGGAGCTGAGACCTAATTCCTGTTTTATTGATTAAGGAGAGGAGCCTAGATGGAGTTCAAAAACAAGACGGAAAGTTGGAATGTCCCACCCGAGTCCTGCTTAACCCAAGTTCTCTTCAGCTTTCCAAACAGCCTCCGCGCTGCTCACCCCAGCTCACCTCTGTGGGGAAGGGGGGCGCCGGGCCGGGCCGGGGGAAATTTATAGCGGTGGTCCGTACAGGAAATGCAAGGGACTGAGGCTCAGGGGGTGGGGGGCAGAATCGGATCTCACTCCCCGCGGTTCCTTTTCGAGCTGCAGGTGAGAGGGGGCCACCCTGGCCATCGACCCTTTCCTTCTTTAAAATGTTGCCATTTTTGTTCATGGTGGACTTTTCGTTTCTTTGCATTCGATTTTTAAAAATGAATTGCATTAAAACAGTATTCCCCTGGATTACTGAGGTTTTGGGCGCCACCTTACCTGTTGCACCTGAAGCCTCACTCTGGTGCTTGGGTGGGGAACATTTGGGGGCGGGGTCCCTGCAGAGAGGCCTGGGCAGTTAGAAATTGCACAGGGAGAGGGGACAGGGGAGAGGGTGAGGGGCTGACGTGAGTCTCTGACTGGTACCACTGGTTGGATCAAACAAGGGAGAAATGTCATTTTCCTCCCCTAGGATGCAGCGTTTGTTCGTTCGCTGTGACACCTCTGGCCGTGATGGACAGCAAGGGGCCTTGACCATCTGAGGAGGGGTCAGAGGCTTGGAATTGGTTCCTGGGAGCGCGAATCACGCTCACTGTGTGGCCTGGAGCGGTTGTGCTGGGCCGAGACTGTGGCCTCCTCACGGCGGGGAGGGGGGATCTTTTTTTAATGGAAAAGACCAGCCAGATACATCGAGAACATATTAAATAAAGCAGTTTTCCAAAATGCTTTTTGAGCTCATTAGTGCTTTCTTTTTTCTTCTTCTTCTTCTTCTTCTTTTTAATCCCCAGAAAGCCTCTGTTTTATGGAAAGGCTTATAATAATGGCTAAGATTTACGGAGCCTTCACCCCAGGTCAGACGCTGCAGCGAGCACTTTCATAGCATCATCCCTTTTAATGCTCGCAACCCGTCGCGGAGACAGGGACCATCTCTTCTGCCCGTTCTACGAATGAAGAAACGGAGGCCCAGAGAGGGAAGTAATTTAAGGTCTCACAGCAGCTGAAAGTTCAGAAACCAGGTGGGTTTCCTCCAGAGGGCCCGTTCTTAGCAGAACACATTTGTGAAAATTTGCTACATCTGCACTTAAGGACATTTAAAGACAACGGCAGCATAGGGGAAATTCAGAGAGGTGAAGCCACTTGCTTGAAGCCACACAGCTGGGAAAGGCTGCAGAAAGAGCCTCCGCGTCCGCGTTTCTGGGCCATCGGCTTGCAGCCTGGTCTTCCTTGCCCTGCGCCTGTCCCCCAGAATGAACTAAACCACCATCCAAAAACAGCTGTGTTTTAGCCAGTAACAACCTAGGCATGTACTCTGTGTACCAGAGGCGTTTCAATAAGCCACAGATCCTCAGGCGGGGAGAGAAGGCTCTGGAAGCCTAAAGCCAGGGCTGGGGGGTGGAGCAGACAGAAAACAGAAGAGGAGAAACTGGGAACAGAACATGTCCTGATCCCGCCTGAAATTCCAGGAAAAGAGGATGCAGCCACCAGCGGCGGGTTCGAGTGGCGGGAGTGCCCCAGCGAGGAGACTCTGCCGGCCGGTCCCCCTTAGCAGCCGTTCCTCTCTCCAGAGTATTTGCTGTTGAAGAGGAAACAGCTGTGAAGTTGAAACATTTCCTGAGTGAAGCAACGCTGTGTCCCAGAGAAGCCGGGGACATCTGATTTTGTGGGATGCCTTAAATGCAGAAGTAAACATCATGAGGCTTCTAGCTTTTCTGAAAAAAAACTCTCAAGGAAGACATTGTTTTGGAGATCTGTGAAATTTGGGGTCCTACTTTTGGGTTCACGAAACACGGTGATCCGAGAGCGGATGGGCAGCTGGAAATGAACGACCTATTTAGAAAAAAGCCTGAAATATTTTCCCCTGTAGCCAATAATAATATCTTTGATGCATAGAGTGCTTACTCTTAAGTGCTTTAAACACATTTTCTCCCTTTGTCTTCACTCCACACCTCTCTGTGATAGATATATGGGGGGTCTGGCCTTTTCACCTGCGAGGAAACTGAAGCACAGCGAGGTTAAGTGACTCACCCAAGGCCACACAGCCAGGACCTCGACAAGCCAGGCTTCAAACCCAGTTTTTGTGGAAATGCAGACACCATGTTAGCCCCTTCTAGGCACCTTTTGGCCTGGGGCAACGCTGGTGGAACATACTAAACGTTAGGCAGGCTCTTCGGGGAGTCCGGGAAATTCAAAGCATCAAAGAAATGCCAGGCAGAGTTTTAGGAGCAAGCTTCAGAAAGGTCTTTCAGTCTCTCTGGCCAGGGGGCTCACTCAAGAGCAGAAGGTTGCTGTCCAGGAGAGGCGGCCTGAGATGGCTGGGAGATGCCCCTTCGCCCAAACTGATGCTACAGGAGATTTCCTGTTGACTAGACGAGGCCAGATGAGACCCTCTCATCCAAGTCGTTTGAGCCAACAGAACAGCCACCATTTGCTGAGGACCTGTGAGCCAGGTCTACCAAAGTGTCAAATAAACAGTTGGCAGCAATATCAAGTTCTCTCTCGCCAGCAATCCAGTGAGACATTCTTGGGCAGCCACGCACAGCTGGGCAGGTCAGGCCCAAAGGGGATGCCATTCACAACCTGGCCTTGACACGTTGTAGTACAACCGCTTTCCAGCAGATGGCAGGAGAGTGTCTTGTTTTAATGACATCAGCCTATTATGACGAATTTCCAACATGGAAGTAAGGTGACTTGTGGAAGGGGTGCCGCCTTCTAATTTGGCAAAGGCAGAGTATGATCTAGCAGTGGCTGTGACCAACCCTCCCATTCCCAGGAGGGCATACTGAGGATCAGGGAGGTGGGGTCGCGCAGGTTAGCGAGGAAGTCTGCTCTCAAACCTAGCACCGTCCAGCCGTACCCTGGGCTTCCAGCCCGCTGCTGTATTAGCGATCCTTGACGTTGAAAAAACAGATGACCCAAGAAGATGAGGAATAGCGCAGGAGAGATTACTTCACTGATGGCCTGTTGGTGGTATCCTGAAAAGGAACAGAACCTCATCAAAGCATAAATTCTGCTTTGGCTCTTTACTCCTGATCACAGAAGACAGCACTAACTTCTGACATAAAGGATCTTTCAAATTGTCCAGGAGAAGACTCAGACGCTTGTTTGGGCTAAATTCCATTGCATCCACAGTCAACATCGTGCCTGCCTTTAGGATTTGAAAATCTTTCCATCCTGCAGAGGTGCAGCTCATCTTAGTAACATAGAACCATGATTAATAAGAAGAGGGACTCCAGAGTTGCCCAGATTTGGGTTCGACCCCCCACCTCTCCCGCTTACAGCTGCGATAACCTGCAGCAAAGGATCTATGTGCTCTGAGCCTCAGTTGCCACATCCATAAAATGGGATCATAATCATCCCTACGATGGAAGAGGTGAGAGAACGCAAGCCAAGTGTTCAGGGCAATGAACCTGGTAAGTGTGGTGGTGAGGTGTATATGACTCACATGTGGGCTGAATCCTCAGCTGCTTCTATGTATTGCGGACGGATCTCAGACCCAGCCCAGCACACAGGTTTGGGCATTTGGGGCATTTTTACATGTGTTCTAGTCACCAGGTCTTCCTGGAAGGGGCTCTTCTTTGGGGACGCACTGGCATCCCCATTTTCAGCCTTGTTTTTCTTCCATCTGCAGCAGCAGCTGGGGAAATTGTGGGATCGGGGGAATCTGGGTGCTCCGTGCAGCTGCCAGTGCCTTGGGTGCTGGATGGAGAAGGAAAATGAGGAGCCAGAGAAAGAGAAAGGGGCGGGGTGGGGCAGACGGGGGAGATGCTCAATCCAGAAACTTTCATGAAGTCCCAAATTTATTTCACAAACGACGACTTTAATAATTCAAGCCCAGCAAGCTCAGCTGAGAAAGTCAAAGTGCCACCTCATTCGGCACCTTGGTGACATTTGGAATTTAGAAGCTTGTCCTCTCACTGCAGCCTGATGATGTCACCAGAAGCCAGCGATGGAATTTCCACATCCCGCCCCCCACCACACACCAAAATAAAGTTATTAAGGACGCTGGGGAACTTACAATTTTTAACATTTATTATATAATTGTTATGATTATTACCACTCTAATTTATTTCCCTACTTAAAAATGTTCTGGCAACTGTAACTCATTTTAGGCCAATCCTTGCAAACCAGGAGACCTGGGGTTATTTAGAGAGAGAGAGCGTTTAGCCAGGTGCGCGAGTCTCAAATTTCCTCAAAATTGCTGCAGGGCCTCACTCAATATAGAAATAAGCAAAGAACAGTGTGTGTATTATATCAATATTATGATAATGTGCACCGAATGCAGATCATAAGTGATTAATTTGGTCGTTTTCCAAATTTATCCCCGGGGTTTTCGATCCTAAGCCGCCAGTGAATGAACGCACGCACACACACACAATCCCATCCTCCTGCGGCTCCGTGGAAAAACACCTCGGTGGATGCGAAACGAGAGACGAGAAATTGGGTATATTCAGTGGGAAAAGCAGCTTATTCATTGTGGGCTCAGTCCTGTCTCTCACCTGCTTGGGGGGCGGGGAGGAAAAGAAGGGATTCAGGAAGCAGAAAGCCAATAAAATGGGCCAAAGCCTATCATTGCGGCATATTCTGCCAGTATTTTAATATTATACAGATGAAAAGCTCTTATAAGGGGAAGTTTGCATCTGAGGTGAAACTGAGGATTTGGTATGAAAAGTCTGTGAGTAGAAAAAAATGGGCTTATTCATGGACAGTTAAAATACTGGTTGATCTGTGTGAATTGAGCAATTGAATGAATGTTCTATTTCAGTAGAAGTGCTCTTCTGTTATAATGATGGTGGTTTGAAGGAGAGGGTTTGAACACTTGCTGTGTTTCAGGCGCTGTCGCTGAGGGCAGTGGTTGTCGGTGGGGGCGCATGAGACTGTGTTTCCTGCGGGGACATTTGACAGTATCTGGAGAACGGAATGTCACAACTGGAGAGACAGGGACATGCCGCTGACGGGCAGGGGAGAGCAGGTGAGCTGCTAAGCACCCTGCGATGCCCAAGACTGTCCCCACATCAAAAAATTGTCCAGCCCCATTGTCTACGGTGTGACGTGCAGAAACCCTTAGCGAAAGGCTTTATACGCATCGAGCCGTTTAATAGTTACAATTCTTCAGGTTACATGTTGTTATTATTCTGTCCATTTTACAGAGGAGAAAATGAAGCCTGAAGACATTGAGGATTGTCCAAGGTCGCTCAAGGACTTGGAGCTGGGATGCAAAGCCAGGTATGGGGGATGTGGAGGGTCCCCCTCCAGCCATGTGACAAACCGCCTCTCTGCAGATGCCCTACAAAGCCAAGTATGGGCGCTTGCATGCCTACGATCTGCCCCGAGCAAATGCTGGAAGGACGTGCATCCACCTATCATGACAGACAGACTTTCTTTTTCACTGTATTCACACAATGAACATGTATCAGTTCCATAATCAGAAGAAAACAGGGATGTTTAAAACTAATATGTACGAAGCCTGTGTAGCAATGTGGGGAAGAACGTAGTAGATTTTGAGAAGTGAGACAGACAGGAAACAAAGTGTATCTACCATGGCTCCTTGACTTTGCAGGAGCAGAAGCCTCAGACGATAGCCAGGCCACTTGGCGGAGGAAACGCCGGGCACCGGGACCATGTCTCTGGTCTGAGGTCGGAAGTGAATGCGACCCGTCTGTTCTACACATCGTCTGTTCGATTATTTTACTGTGAACTCATATCGTATTTTTATTATTTTTCCTCTTTCATAAAGTATGTTTATAATAATAATATAAACTGCCTATGTGGGTTTGTTCTAAGACATATTTAATTCTATTTTATGTAAAAGAGTGCAAACATTTGACGTATTTTTTTTTGAGGGACCTTTCAGTGTTATTTATAGATCCTCAAAGCGATCCCCCAAATCACCATTGAAATCAGCACATACAAAGCACTCACGTTGTTCTAAGAATTATGCTAAACAAGTCACAAGAATCACCTCACTGTCTCAATAAACCTATGATGTCAAGACTATTTTTATCCCTATTTGACAGGTAACAGACAGAGGCTCGGAGAGGTTAAGTGTCTTGTTTGCAGACACAAAGCAGCAGAGACAGAATTTGAACTCAGATCTATCTGCCTCTTAGAGCTATGGTCATTTACCTCCTAAACAGAGGTAAGAGACATGGGATTCAGCTATTCCTCAGGACCCTTCCAAGGGGGGCATTTAATTCTTTTCAAAGAGGGTTTTGGGAACATGTGAAATAGAATCCTATGCATCGAACAAGGACCGTTGCACGTAAGGGCTACGGAATATCACTTTGTGTGCAGTCTAGAAAAGACTCGGTTTTCTGCTGGAATCAGGCAGAGAATCAGTCTGGGGGATCCACAATGTGCCCACCTCAGGTGGACATGGCAGCAGGAGAAGGTGGCTTCCATCAGGTTAGAAGCGGGTGGAAATCGGGACCCAAGGCAGAAAGCGTGGAGGCAGCATTGGGCACAGCCACGGGTATTTTTAAAGCTGCCTTTAAAAACACCAGCACCTCCCCAGGCAGCCTCGGAGGGTGGACCTGCCACTCCAGGCGGGGACTGTAAATGGTGTGCTGGCGAGACTCCTAATTAACCACAAGCCACCATGTCCTAACTTTGGACTGTGTCTTCCATTGTGGCCCCGTGGAGGGTGGAAGAGGGTGTTAAATATTTGGGTGCGGTGAGAGTGGATGGCGGTGAAACCTTCAGCGGGTTATTACCTAGAAACAGTGACCGACTCTGGTTACCCCCAGGCGGGGCAGCCCCAAGGCGAGGAACAAGGTGACTTGAGTTCCACACGGTGCCAGGGCGATGACTTCACGGCCACAGAATTTTAGGGGGTGCCAACCAACTTGGTCACCAAGGCCAATGCATTTTAGTGCAGTATTTTTTTTAAAGCAAAATGAATGCAAAATATTATCTATGATCTTAAATTTTATATAAACACGAGATCTGACAGGTCCAGGATTCAGGTGAGGAGAAGTAAGTGGGGGGAGCCAGACCCCACTTTCATGAAAAATTGTTGCTGAGGAATTTGAAAAGAAATCCCATCCATTGTGTTGTTTCATCCTTATACATTTCTGTTGTCTTCTCTAAACAACATGGACTTTTTTAAAAACATCACCTCAATGTTATTAACATGTTAACAAACTTAATAGTTCTCTGCTACTGTCTCATAATCAGTTGAGAATCAAATTTTCCTGTTGGATGAAAAAAGGTCTTTTGTTCTTCGTTTTTCTAACTTGGGTCCAAACAAGGTGCACATGTTGCATTTGGTTGATGTGCTGCTTGGGCATCTTTTCTTCTAGATCCCACCTCCTACTTTTTTTTTTTATGCCATTGACTTGTTGCAGAAATAAGTCAGAGATAATGTCCCTCATTCTGGATTTTTCTGTTTGATTTCTACGTGTCATTTAGCTTCATTTATTTATTTTCTATTGATTTCCTATTTTTAATGTCACTGATTATTTCTTTAATTTGTATTATTTCTTTCCCTCGGCTTACTTTAGATTTATTTTTTTCTGCTTTTTCTAGTTTGCCAAGGTGGAAGTTTAGATGATTGATTTTAGATTTTTTTCTTTTCTAACATATACATCCAATGCTATAAATTCCCTCCTAAGCCCTGCTTTCACTACATTCCACACATTGATAAATTGCATTTTAATTTTCTATTTGTCGATATATTTCTTAAATTTCTCTTGAGACTCCTTTGACCCATGTGTTATTTAGAAGTGGTGTTTAATCTATTATTACATTAATTTATTAATGCATTATTTAGAGTATGTTGTTTGATCTCCAAATATTTTGGGATTTTCTAACTCTCTTTCTAGTTTAATTCCATTAATTTCTAGTGTAATTCCATTGTGATCTAAGGGTGTATGTTGTATGATTTCTATTCTTCTACATATGTTAAGGCATGTTTTATGGCTAGTATGTGGTCTGTCTTAGTGAGTGTTCCATGTGAGCTTGAAAAGAATGTGTATTACACTGTTGTTGGATAAATAACCTCTAAATGTAGATTACACCTAGTTGATTGATGATGTTGTTGAGTTCAATGAGGTCCTTACTGATTTACTGCCTGCTGAATCCTCCAGCTGTCGTAGTAGATTTATCTATTTCTTTTTGCTGCCCTATCAGTTTTTGCCTTATGCATTTTGAGTCTCTGTTGTTAGGTGCATATATGTTGAGAATTATTATATCTTCTAGGGGAGTTGACCCTTTTATCATTATGTAATACCCCTAGGAGGTCATTTAACTTGTTCCCAAATCCTTTGTGTTTCCACTAAATGCCCGTGAGCTCTAGAGACTTGGAGTGGACATTGGGGTATTTAGGCCCCACGCCTGTCATTTTGCCTGTACCACTTCACTGCACTCCAGCCTGCTGTCTAGTGCCCACGTGTCTGCTTTTCTGTGCCTGGAGACACTCTTGGCTACCAGGGCTGACAAGTGCTGAGGATTCAACTCCCCTCCTCAGGGACAGCCCTTACCCAATGGCTTATGGGAATGGCTACGTAAATACTCTGGCTGTCCCGTGCCCTGGGTGGGTTGACTCTGAGGGACATAATTTACACCGGCTGCCAGGGTTCTGGAGCTGGGTTAAGCTTTAATTATCTGCAGTGGTAACTTGCTTGGGAACTCGCCCTCTGCTGACCACCTTCCTTCCCCTGTCTCACTCCATTACCAGCACTTCCTGAAAATACCTCCCCAAAACATTATGTGCCCAGGGGTTAGGGGATCAGGTTAAAAAAAGGGGAAGGGATTAAGAAGTACAAATCGGTGGTTACATAAAATAGTCATAGGGATGTAAAGTGCAGCATAGGGAATATAGCCAATAATATTGTGATAACCATGTATGGTGCCAGGTGGGTCCTAGAAATATCGGGGAGATCACTTTGTGGAGTATTTAATTACCTAACCATGATGCTGTACACCTGAAACTAATACAAAGTAATATTCCATGTAAACTGTAATTGAAAAATAAAAGTTAAAAAAAGGAAACAAATATAAAACATGACCTTGAGTTCTCATCTTAGGGCTGCTTTGGGGAAATTCAAAGACAAGGCTTAAGTAGATTCAGATTCAGCCTTTTCATAGGCGTTCACGTTGTCTGGTTGCCTCATTTTTAGTTTAATGCTGATCAGGGATTTCAAGTGACAACAGCCTGATCCCTCCTTTGCAAATTTTCTCATCAGCCTTTCGTCTAATAACCTCATCCATAGGGGACCACTTGCTGAATCCACCTCACATACTTTTAATTTTTTACAAGACAGAGAAAGAGAGAAGAGTGGCAACATTAATTTGCCCCTGGGTCAAGCCATGCCTGCAGCTGTCACGATTCCTGAACTTCCCAGTTTTTCAAACCAATAAATTCCTTTTGGCTAAGCCAATTGGAGTTCAATTTCTATCACTTGCAACTGTATAAGCCCTTGACTAATACAAACGCTCCCAGGCGTTCCTGGGAGCACCAAAAAAGGAAAATCACATGTACTCCCAAACCTGTACATTTCCTGTACACACCATACTGTGTACCACTATCTTCCCTTGGTTGATGTCCTCTGTCTTGAAGTGGTTGTGCCATAGGTGACCACTCCCAAGATAACTTGCTTTTTCCAAGGTCACACAGTGGGTGAGCAGAGGTGAGGGGTCGCTCCTTTTCCCAACTCTATATATTTAACAACAGACACATCAGGGACATCGATGAGTTCTGCCTATAAAAACAGATACAATAGAGTTGGCACCTGCCAAGTTCACTACTCAGCCCTGGTTTTTTCCCCTTCTGCTCACTATTTTTTCCCATTTAATTTAATTTCTTTTATTTATAACTGACATACAATATTATGTTAGTTTCAAGTGTACACATCGTGATTCAACATTTACATATCTTATGGAGTGAGGACCACAGTAAGTCTAGTAACCATTTGTCACCGAATAAAGTTATTATGATATTATTGACTATATTCCCTAGGCTGTACATTCCTCCCCGGTGCCTTATTTTTTAACTAGAAATTTGTACTTTTTAATCCCACTTTCCCTTTTCTGCCCCCCATCAGTTTGTTGTCTATATGTATGAATTTATTTGTTTCATTTTGTTCATTTGTTTTGTGCTTTAGATTCTACATATAACTGAAATCATACTGTATTTGTCTTTCTCTGTCTGGCTTATTTCACTTAGCATAATGCTCTCTAGGTCCATCCGTGCTGTCGCAAATGGCAAGATTTCATTCTTTTTTATGGCTGTCTACTCACTATTTTTTAATCTTAGGATCCAGTTGCATCTGGAGCTCCTGCTTTTAAATGTGAAACACCTGAGACATTCTCAAATGATTATATCATGTTTGATTGCCCCGCTAAGGCAAACAGTGTTGGGTGCGCTGTGCCTGGTCGTGTCCACCTCTGCGTGGGGGCTGCATCCACTTTGCTAAAACAGCTGAGGACGCTGTGCACATGGGAGAGCTGCCGTGTGTCCTGCCTTTAAACAAAGCCTGGTGAGCATCTCCAAGTCTCCTTTCTCCGTTGCCCCTCAGCCAGCTGAACGCACACGAGCTTCTGTTTATGGAGGAAAGTTAAATAGAACAGAGAGGAAGAGGAAACTTTGGTTTGGTTTTAAACTTCAATTTAAAACCAGTTGGGAGCAGGTGGTGTGATGGGCCAACTTCAAA